TTCAGTTAGCTTAATGGCTGAGCAAGGCAAACTGAGACATTAGCATCCATAAGGGAGACACTTTATTAATAGAAAAATATTGGTAACTGACGGTACTTCTCATTCATTCAACATTTGATATGCCGGGCACTGTCTAAGGGCTTGGGAATAGAAAAAGGAAAGGAACTGCTCCTTCTCCTTGAGGCAGAGGCATTTATTCATTGAGTCATTCATTCAATCAGCATCAGAGCACCTGAGTTCTGATGAGCTCTGGACATGGAGTGGTGAATAGGGCAGACCTGGCCCTGTCCTCCTGGAGCTTAGAGTCTAGTGTGTTTAACAGAGGTTGGTGCAACAGGAGAACTTCCGTGGAGGCAACAACTACTGGCTTCTTCACAGAGTGATTAGGAAATTTATGAGACTTGAGAAGAATTGTCATGGGTGAATGGAAATTCAATTGGAAGAATTTGATTTTTAAGGATTCTAAATTTAAACTCCGTAATTTATAAAATAAAGTTGATTTGTTGCTGTATCTTTGAAAATGGGCATTCCTGGTGCTTATCCCACTGAATTTCGGGCTCAACACATAATCACCAGAGGGAAGATCTCACCAGATCTCACTGATTCAGGTAGGAATACATTTGACATAAGAGAAGCTTCCATCTCACCATGTCCCAGAATCCAGCGTTTATTTTTCCAGTGTGATTCATGAACCTGAAATAAGAAGCAGAATACTAGAAGCTGATGTTCTAGCATCAGCTTGAAAACCCTTGTCTTAACCAAAAGGCCTTTTATTCGGATTTACTTCATTCGTCATTCATTCAGTAACTGTATTGAGTATCTTCTTTATACCAGGCCTGTGCCAGGTGGTAGGAATCCAAAGATTAATATGACCTGACCCCTGTCCTTGGGTGTCTAGGAGATAGAAGTCTTATGTATCAACATGCAATTACAATCCAATGTTGTCTATGCCCCAGTAAATTTAAACACAGGGAGCGCCTGGGAGACTTGAGAAAGGCTCATGGAGGAAATGATATCAGAGCCGGATTTTGAAAAGGAATTGATCAGGTGGAGAAGTGAGGGGAAGACGTTCTAGGAGGAGGAAAGAATGTGTGAAAAGACAGAGGGGTCTTTCAACATATGAAAGAGCATCCTCTGAGAAACACTGAATTCAGAGGATAGGATTGATGGGGACAGAGAGAAGAAAATGAGTCGGAGAACAATTGACTGATAATGCTAAGATAGATTGGGGCCAGAAAGTTATACCTGCCTGAAGAAGGTAATATCCTCTATTATTATGTACTATATGAATGAGTGATTTTTGCCTTCTAAAATAGGCAAACTCATAGATGTGTAGATGAGCAGCAATGCATTATAGCTATGAAATCTACTACTGTTTCTATGGCCACATTTAGCACATACACATGCCAAGTTATTTCTTGTGTCTTTAATCAAAATGCTTCACCCTCATGATGACCTAGACAGATGGTGGAGAACCAACATAGTTAAAGTGAATGCTAGGAAAAATGGCCAAATGAGGCAAGTCACCCCAAAACAATATAAGGAATTGCAGCCAGTGCTGTATACTGAAAATATGTTGTATAAAACTCTACTTTTATATTCAATCAATACATTATTTGACCCACGGATGATGTCAGGCCCCAAACCAAGGCGCCATTCATTCCTAGAGTTTCTCTGAGCATCCCGTGACCCAGCGTGCCTTGTCACTAGTCTCAGGGCCAGAGGATTGAGTACAGGGTCAGAGGCCCCAGGGCATGGAAGGATGTTCAGTTCTTCCTGCCTCCTCTATCACCAGAAGTTATCCATCCTGGGCCTTCCTTTATGTGGTGACGTGGGAGATGTGAATTAGCGGAACAGAGGATGGAGATAAGCTGCTCCTGGACATAATTTTTCACTGAATTAAATCCAGAGAGAATAAAAGACCTTCGGTAGTGAGTAGTGAAGCCCCAGAGCATCAGCTGTCTAAGTGAGTGTTGTGGTGCATGACAAGAGGGCCCTGAGGGGGACACTGCCAGAGATCTGTGACCGCTCACTCCACCACCTCCTGGCACCACTCTCCCTCACAGACAGTTTGGACAGGTGGCAGCTTCTGGAGTGTTAGCCCGAGAGGTGCCATCTCTCCCAGCTCTGCAGCCTCCCTGCTCTGAGTGCTGAACAGCTGACCTCCACCAATGACTCAATGACAACCAGCCAGAGATGTCAATAAAACTCATTATACATGATATCAGCCTTTCACGCAGGTGTGCAGTTCAGAGATTTAATTCCTCCTACCCCTCCCAGGCAGCTTTGGTGAAATTAAAGTGGAGATTGACATTCTCACGAATTTTCCATTTCCTGCGGTGTTTTATCAGGAATCTAGGTCATGACAGCTTCACTCATTCCCATCTTCACTGATATATGCCTTAGAAGGCAAAGCCCAAAGTCTTCAGGCCCTCTCTTTTTCTTCCTTCTCCGTGCCCCTGCAGAGGAGAAAGTCCTGCAGGACAACCGCACTCACACTCTGATCTCAACTGACTTCAGCACCTAGTCAAGAGGCTGCGTCTGGGCTCTGATGATGTTCACGCCAGCTGTCGTTGGCAAGGAGATGATTAACCATGTGACTGCCCTAAGCAAAGCAGCAGGTGTCGAGCGTCAGCGGGGAAATCCATTTGTGAATTTCACCTTTTCCTGTTGCCCTGTGAAGGTCACCTAGTGCTCCTGTAATATACTGACTCGTTGTTCAAAAGCAAAGCCCATGCTGTCCTTTCTCTCTCCAGTCTCTAAGTATGAGTCAGAGAGTCTTCCAATGAATGACACTAATATTAGGAAATCATCATTTATATCAATGTTCATAATCTAAGAACAACAATTTTTATAAATTTATGAGACTAGAGCTTAACATTTTATTGAAAAAAATGTTTTAAGTTTTTTGAAAGAAGAAAATAATCCCCTATGATCTGAGCACCTTAACATAGTTATTTTCATTTCACATGTTTGCTTCCAGCGTCTGTCCACAAGAAGACATTGCTCATAATGGTGATCAGTATGTAAATAATGTTCATTTCTCCTGCTTTTTTTCACTGAATTTCAGATCTTAATAATTATCATATTGAATGGCTGGCTGAGTATAATTCTCTGAGTTGCTAATTTGTGATTTCTTTAATGATTTACCCAAAGAAAGGAGGACATTTACTTTCTCATATTATATTCTTACAGATAATAATGTATATTGCTTTTGCTTGCTTTTGAGTTTTTTTAGGACTAACCCAGGAATGGGATCCCTGGTTCTTGATATAGATTGCCTTACTGGTTTTTTTAAAAGAATGACACCAAATTATGGTACCACTGGTAGGGCCCATGGCCATTTTCATTAAAAGAACAAAGAGAGAGACCAAACTTAATGGAAAAATTGTTTTTGTTTGTTTGTTTTAGTGAGCTCTTTTTAATGTTATCAGTCTTCACTGGGCAGGCCTGAACGGAGGCTTAAGCAAGAAAAAATGAAAAAGGAGGAGAGGGCTAGTTTTGCAGAATAGCTCCCATCCCATGACTTGGCATTCTTTTCTTCACTTGTTTCTATTTCTGACAGGGTGAGGAGGCCGTGAGAGTGTAAGATTCTGGTAGATCTGGACTCAGAACAAGAGCTGCTCCCTCTTAATGAGGGGACAGCTGGAGGCAAGCGAGACACAGAGGAACTCCATGAGAGCCACGAATAGCCTGATGGTTGACTGTGTCAGGAGAGGCATCCAGCTAACATTGGGCCTTCGGAGTTCACTTTGGAAGAATTCTTTAACCCATCTGAAATTCTAAAATCTGGAGGCATTGACCTCATCTTTCTGCCTTCCCTCTTCTTTCTCGGGCATTCTTACTGTGAGTTACTGGCCAAAGGCAAATCCTCTGACAAATGTTAAGGCAGAGAATGATGTGGTGAGATCTGTCCACCTAAGAAAGAATGTCTTGTGCATGGGCAGTTACTGAGAGTGCAACAGGGGGAAGAAGGGCGGTCATCAGTGGTGCCTAATAAAGACACCAAGAAGGAAAGTAGGCTAGCACGTGTGTGTTATAACAATGCAGAGCACTGATGTGGATACCCTTGGCCCTTCCCCTGCACATTAGGAGTCGTTAGGGTGTTGAGATGTGCGATGACTCTTGTCTTCCAAAGGTTGTATCCTGTTGGCTTCTCAGACCAGTAGAATAATCTTGTACCCAGTATTGTACAGTGTGCACAATTTGAGAAGTATATTTTAATGTACATATTAGACACGATACTGAGTGTCTTGGCCAAGGTCATTCAGCTACAATGAAATGATAGTGTCACTTAGTCCTTGGTCCTCTGGGTCTGGCTCATCATCTGCACTCAAAAGACACTCACCAATGAATGAACCCAGGGATTCTGACATTGGGACCATGCTTCTCCTTTATACCCTGCAGCTACTATAGAATAAAATCTAGGTTTTGTGTAGCCTTTGCTATACAGTAGTTCAAAGATCAAAGGACACACATGTTGCCTAAAGATAACGGATTCACCTAGAAGCCTCATTACTTCCTGCATAGCTTCCATGGTTTAGGAAGTTCAAACCCCTTTGGGCATCTGTCTGTTTGGATGTGATCAAAGATAGAGCAGCCCTTATTGCTGCTGATTGGGAAAGGGTTTACTGTTAATGGTCTCCCTGGAAGGGAGATGCTGAAGAAAGGAGAGTAGCACAGCTTTGGGGTTGTGTCGCCTTGGACAACTCATTTAACCTCTCTAAGGTCCTTCTCGTAAAGGAGGAATGGTAACACTTGCTACATAGACTGTCTTGAGAATTCAATGCGATGGTTCCTGCAGACCTCCCCTGAATAGAGAGAAGGAAATGTGCCGTGAACCTTGACAAACGTGCTCCTTCCTCCCGTCAGCCTCACTGCTGCTCCTCTTGGCGGGACACGCTGTAGGCCCTACGCCATGTTCAGTCTGCAGCCATTTGCAACTGCAAAACGAATGTGCCGATTTTTCTGAATGTGGTGTTTTCTCCAATCTCTTGTAGGAGGTGCTTGAGCTTGCTTTCTCCATCTTGTACGACTCAAACTGCCAGCTGAACTTCATAGCTCCGGACAAGCATGAGGTAAGGGTCTCCGTGGGGTTAATTTATGAGAAAATGTCACATTTTCTCGAGAAAAACAAGCAGGAGAAAAATACTGGAAAGAAAGAAATTTCGTTTAAAAAAAAAAAAAGCCTGGGCCGGCCCCGTGGCTTAGCGGTTAAGTGCGCGCGCTCCGCTGCTGGCGGCCCGGGTTCTGATCCGGGTGCGCACCAACGCCGCTTCTCCGGCCATGCTGAGGCCGCGTCCCACATACAGCAACTAGAAGGATGTGCAACTATGACGTACAACTATCTGCTGGGGCTTTGGGGAAAAAAAAGGAGGAGGACTGGCAATAGATGTTAGCTCAGAGCCGGTCTTCCTCAGCAAAAAGAGGAGGATTAGCACGGATGTTAGCTCAGGGCTGATCTTCCTCACAAAAAAAAAAAAGAGCCTGCCTGAGAAAAATCATGAACAAAGAAACATCTCGTTGACTGGAATAGAGTGGAAACCTCTTGAAAAACTGCCAGTTATGACAGGTTCAGCTTCTTACTAGCTTGATCGATAGTTCATGGTTAAGAAAAAGAACGTACACGTGCTTCATACACAGCAAGGGCGTAATTGTGGAGGAAGAGGGGGCCCTGGTTACAGCTTTGGTTTTCATTGAATATTTAATTTTTGGTCAGGGTTTTCCCAAGATAAACTTGTGTCTATTCTTTAAAACCTTTGATGAAGTAGGTTTTCTACCATGTTTCTTTAAGTTATTTTAAGAGGTTTAGGGCTGTCTCTGCTGTTGGAATTTTATTTTTGAGATGCTTTTATTCCTTTTTGACATCTTGTTATATGTATAATTTGTTTCTCTTCTTGAAGCACACTGTCAGCTATATTTAAAATATTTAGCATAAATCTAGGAAAATGCATTTGTAAGAAGAAGTAGGAGCTATGATTAACTTTTTCTCTTATAAACTAGAACCCAACATCATGCTTGAAACTCTTATTTTTAGATGATACCATTCAAATTTTTGTTTTGTGTGTGGTTGCATAACAACTTTTAGAAAGGAACATTTTAATAGATTCTGACTTTTGTTCCCCATTTCCCCAGGAGACTTAGCTCATTTAGAAGTTATTCAGTGTCTGGTTTTCACTGGTTTGAAGCTTTTGAATAAAATTTTACATCCCAAAGAGACAGGAAAGATTAGAGACAAATCCTGCATTTAGAATGGTACTTAAATATAATTCTGTGTTACTTGACATTTAGTTTGCAGAAGGGTATGACTTTGTCTTCATCTTCCTGAAAATAGATACTGTGTCCTACTGTTTCTTTTTTTAAATAAAATTGTGGTTGTACCCAGGCCACCATATTCAAGATATATAAAGCTGTATAGAAAACTACTTAAAAGAGTAGAACTATGGATGTTATTTAAATCTAGGCAAGGCTGTTTTCCTGAGTACACATTAATTCCAGATAAGGAAAAACATCCTGGGACTGCCAAATTTTTATTCACATCTGCCACTTTTTATTGATTTAGTGAGGAACAAAATGCCATACCCTTGTGAACACTTTTAATTTCTTCAGACCACTGTCATATCTATTACCTCATTTTATTTGCATAATCATCCCATAAAATAGAAAGTTCTATTACAGATAGCCTCATTTATCAAATAAGGAGAGAAAGCCCTCCCAAAATTGCGTGCCTCAACAATAGTAAAGACAATAGTAATTATAACTAGCCTGGCTTACTCTGTGCCGGGCACTATTTAGTGCTTTAAGTACTTCATCTCACTTAATCCTCATATAATTCTAAAAGAAACAACCTAATATTATCCCCATGTTATAAAAGAGGGAAACGAGGCACAGAGAGGTTAAGAAACTTGTCCAGAGTAAAACAAATGGTAAGTGATAAAGCTGGGATTTAAACCGTGGCAATCTTGCTCCAGACACCCTTCTCTTTGGCCCCTGCACTGTGTAGCTAGGAAGGGAGAAAGCAGGACCTGAACTCACAGCTCCCTGCCAGTGCCCATCACTCAGCCTCAGCAATTATCCATTCATGGCCAATCTGGTTTCATCTGTACCCCGACTCACACCCAGTTGCCCCCTCGCCCTGATTGTTTTTAAAGCAAATCCAGATATCATATCATTTTATTTGTAAATATTCCTGTGTGCATCTAGTCATAAAAAGTCCATTTTGAGGGGCCGGCCTGGTGGCGCAAGAAGTTAAGTGTGCACACTCTGCTGCGGCAGCCTGGGGTTCCCCAGTTCGGATCCCGGGCACGCATTGACGCACCGCTTGTCAAGCCATGCTGTGGTGGCGTCCCATAAAAAGTAGAGGAAGATGGGCGTGGATGTTAGCCCAGGGCCAGTCTTCCTCAGCAAAAAAAAGAGGAGGATTGGCAGATGTTATCTCAGCCGATCTTCCTCACAAAAAAAAATGTCCATTTTGAAACATAACTACAATACCATTATCACACCCAATTTTATAAAGTTTCAATACCACCATATACAGTCACTTTTCAGATTTCTCCAATTGTCTTATTTATTTTTTCTTTTACACTTTATTCAGATCAGAATCCAAATAAGATCCATACATAGCAATTGGTTAACATGTTTCTTCAGGTTGCTTACATCTATAGATTCCTCTCCCTGTCTGTTGTGAGCCATTTCCTTGCAATTTTTTCATTGAAAAAACCAAGTCATCTGTCTGGTAACATTGCCAATAGTCTAGATTTTGCTAATTGTAATTCTTTGTATTAGTTTACTGTGGCTGCTGTAACGAATTATCACAAATTTAGTGGCTTAAAACAACATTTATTATCTCACAATTCTAGAGGTCAGAAGTCTGATGCAGATCTTTCTGGGCTAAAATCAAGGTATTAGAAGGGCTTAATTCCTAGCCCTTCTAGAGCCCCTAGAAGGGCTCTAGGGGAAAATCCATTTCCTCACCTTTTCTACCTCTCAAGGCCACCCACATTCCTTGGCTCATGGCTTCCATCCATCTATGGCAATGGTGGGTTGAGTCCTCACACCACATCATCCTGACCTCCTCTTCCATAGTCAAATCTCTCTCTCTGTCTCACCTCTGTCTCTCTCTCACTCCTATTCTGTTTCCCTCTTCAATTTTTAAGGACCCTTGTGATTACATTGGGCCCACCTGGACAATCCCAGATAATCTCCCTTTTTTAAGGTCAGCTGATTAGCAACCTTAATTCCCTTTGCTATGTAACCTAACATACAGGTTCCAGGGATTAGGACATGGTCTTATTTGAAAGGAGGGTATTATTCTTCCTATCACAACCTGTGCTATCATTTCACATGTTTATCTGTCTCCTGTATTTCCTACTAAGTGGTAGTTAGAGGATTAATCAAATTCAGGCTCAACTTTAAGCAGCACTGGTGTGTTCTTACATAGTGTCTGGTTGTCTCTCTTTTGAGGATATTAGCAGCTGTTGATGATTATTGCCTCAATCCTTGGATTCACTAGACATTGGAAAAGGTTGATATCCCAGTTCTGTCATTCCTTCTTCATTTATTAGTGGGATTGTTACATAAAGAGACACTGGCTTCATCAACTCTTTGATTACTCTGAGGCCATACAATTTATATATGATAGGCAGGATAAATACTTGATTCCCTTTACCAGTTTTCAAAATAATGAGCATCTTCCAAAAGAGACCAATGAGGTGTTTTTGGTGTTTGAGTACCATTACGAAGTTATGGATTTAAACATATTTGTGTTTCAGTAAGTTGCAGTTATTGTCATTATCAGTGTCCAGATTATCTTATCTAGAGAAAGTAGGATCACCTTCCGGTTGGCTTCTGACTCCTATTGACATGATTCCAGATGTCTTTGACAGCTTTTGGGCATTCTGGTATGACAAGATATTCCAGACTCCTCTTATACATTTCCAGCCTTTTCTCTATGGATCCTTGGTTCCTTTTCATAGGAAATGGTATTTAGCAGCCTGAATCTGGGCATTAGATGTGCTTATTACAACTTGGTTCGTCATTATTTTTAGGTCTTTTTGTGCCAAGAGCTAGGAGTTATGCTTTTTCTTAAGACAAAATACATGATAAGTTCATACTGATACTTCAAACTCAGATTCAGTACTATACAGTTTTTATTTATTGGTCAATGTGCTTTTTAATAAAATTTTCTGTGCCTGCTGCTTTTCAAAAGAAAAGCACCACAGAAGTGTTCCTGTGGGTTAAATTAATCTGTACTAGGAAGCTAGCCAGGACTGAGAAGGCTGTGTACAAAAAGCAGTAATCCCCAGGGCTTAGGGATTTACAATGAAACAGTGTCAGAGCTGGGAGGGGCCTTAGAGAGCACAGAGTTCAGTGGTACCCATATCTGGAGGTACATCAGAATTAGCTGGAAACTTTTCTAAATAAAACATCCTCACCAAAGATCTACAAGATAAGGATCTCGAGGGTAGAACCTAGTATCTATTTTTATCAAGTTATTTATGAGGAAATGAATGTTTAGATGTGTTCAGAATCTAATGCAAGGTATTCTTGAGCACCCTAATACTTCCAGAAACCCCTTAGCACTCAACTGATGTTTAGATGGGTTAAACGCTTTGGCTGAGATCACATAGCCAAGGCAGAACCAAAGTTCTACAGTTCAGGGCTGTACTACTCAGACTTGGGCCTCATAATACACCCATGGGGCACCTCCTCAGCTTAAAAAGTGGTGCTGTTGACGTGCATTATGGTCAATTTACGTCACATCACTATGACTTAAGATTTGTATAGTGCTTGCAGTCTTGTAGTACTTTTATGTTGAGATCAACTAACTAGGGTCTGGAATTTCAACCTGACCCAGTGAGGGCAGATCTAGAGCACGTGGTAGAAGGAAGACTGTCCTACAGGAAGAGCAGAGCAATTGATATCATAGAGGTCTTGTATAGGACTAGGCCATCCTAACATGTGAGTAGAGTATAACATCCAGATGCAGGCAGTTTTCTGAGATACTGGCAGCAGAGGCTAGTTCTTTTACCAGGTATCAAGCTCCAATACCAGGTCTTGGCATGACTTCAGCCTCTGAGAGGGAAGCTGACAAGAGCAAGGCAAGTCCTCAGATAAACAAAGCATAGTTCCTTTCCTCAAGGAGTTCATAGTCTACTGGGGAGGCAAAGGGCATGATGAATTTTATGAGAAAGGAAGAAATGCTTAGTTGGGTACTCTGGAGGGCTTTCCAAAACAGGTGATGTCCCCAGGGACCACACTCCAAGACCTGGAGGAGAGAAATCTTGGGAACTGGAGAGCCAGGCAGAAGAGGTCCCCAAACAGGCAGCCAACCCACCTCCCATTAAGATCACCCAATAATTTTAGCCATTTTGTCTACCACACATTGGGCAACAGAAGACTTTTTCCTAGCACTTTTGCATTGATAAATGCAAAGGTGGAACTACCATTGGCTCCAGAGTGGGATGGGGCTGTCATTGTGAGTGCTAGGAATCAGGTAGGATAGGCAGAGATTAGCTACTGTGCTAGGAACCATGATTGGAGTCAGGAAAGAAGCAAAGGAAAGAAGCAAACTTGACCTAAAGTTGAGTGCAGGAGTGTTGGGGTATATTCCACCAATACCTTAAAATCATAGACTCACTGATGGGATGTTAGAGATATTATGTTGCACAGTCCTAGAGAAGTCAAATCCTCCTGCTCTTGTGTAGGGAGGCATTCTTTGCACAGAAGAGTGCAGGCACTGGAGTCAGATTACATAGGTTCAAATCCCACCCACTCCACATACTATCCAGTTACTCAACTTCTCTGTGCCTCAGTTCCCTCATCTGTAAAACAGAGAAGATAACAGAAGTGTCAACTTCTTAGAGATGTTGTGAATATTAAATGACGATGTAGGCAAAGCGCTTAGGACAGAGCCTAGAACATGTTGAGTAATCAGTAAGTGGTAGCTGTTGTTACTACTCTTATAATTGTCATCAGTAGTTATCATTGTCACCTCCTTTCCCACCAGTACTGTATCTGGACGGATGGGCTGAATGCACTGCTGGGGAAAGACATGATGAGTGACCTGACGCAGAATGACTTGGACACCCTGCTCAGCATGGAGATCAAGCTCCGCCTCCTCGACCTGGAAAACATTCAGATCCCCGATGCACCCCCACCCATCCCCAAGGAGCCCAGCAACTATGACTTCGTCTATGACTGTAACTGAAGTGGCCGGGCCCAGAAGCACCCCCTTCAAAACTGGAAAATCTAGCTAACAGGAGAGAAGAATGAAAACACGCCCACGCCTTGGAATCCTCTTGTGGTAAAGGGAAGCTGTGGGTCAACACTTTCTTTGGCCTCACCTCTAGCCCTGGCATTTTTCTGCCCCTACCTGGCATCTTGCTCACCACCCTGATCCTGTTTCTGGACTCCATCGCTTTAGGTCACTTCCCATTGCTGCAGTCTACTGGTGGGAGAAGAGCAAGATCCACTGCCAATAAGAGAGCCAAAGGGCCCTTCCATCCTAACCCCAGCAGGCACGTCCTTCCTTCATGGGGTATGAAAGCCAGCAGCACAAGACTGCCCCAAAACCTGCCCGCCAGACTGAGGGGAGTGCCCCAAGGCTTGTGTCTGGAAGAAACAGCCTCGCTACTTGAGAAGACCAAACACCACCTCCTCATTCCCCTTCTCTCTAGAGTCGGCTTACACCACCAGTTCCATGTGAATTGAAATCTGCTTTCAAATCCCCTCCCTCTTTCATCCCGGCCTTTGTCTTGCCCTGTTCTTCTCTGGGTTCCAAAAGCAGCAGCAGCAGCCTCATCCTAGTTCTCGCCAGCACTCGGTCTCCCAGACACAGTCCACAGGTCCCGTGCCCACTTCGCATCTGCATCTGCACTGTGACCGTGGCCAACCTTCCTTTCTCGCCAGCTAGTCTTGGATTTCCTCTCCTGGCCCCAGCCTAGACCTGCCTTCTTCATTTCCACACACCCTCCTAGCCCCTTAGCTGAAAGCACAAATGGTGAAATCAGTTGTCATGCTCCATCTCTAACATACTAAACCTAAATGCCTCTAGGACCAGCAGTTGCTATCTAAGGGTTTGGTGTTACATTCTCCTGGGGGCTTCTGCTGCAATACAGTTTCCACAGGATGGTCAAGCTGTCAGACATCCAAGTTTACATCAGTGTAATTATTACAGGTGTTGACAATTTGCAAGGGTTTGGGGTGGTTTTTTTTTTTTGCTTTGTTTTTGTATAAAAGAGTCTAACATTTTTTGCCAAACAGATATATATTTAATGAAAAGAAGAGATACATAAATGTGTGTACTTTCCATTTTTTTTTTAATTATTTTAATCCTAAACATCTTCCTGAGAATAACCTTCCCTTAAACATGCTGTGGAATAAAATTAATTGTGATGAGTTGGGGAGCTGGTGTTTTGATTTGGTAAATTAAGTTCTTGCTGCTCAGTCATCAGCATCACCTGGGAGCTTGTTAGGACTGCAGCATTTTCAGCTTTACCCCAGACCCACAGAATCAGGTGGTTCGTGTGCACATAAAGTTTGAAAAGCACTGGCCCAGGGGACTTGACCATTGCTAGGTCAGTATAGGCTCTATGCATCAATAAAGAATGTTGCTTCTAAGAAGACCATTTCAACTCGCTGAGAAAATCAGACACGCTGTGTAAAAATATGATCTATTCATTTTGTACTATTGCCTACTGACCATGACTTTCTCTTTTATTTTTTCTTCCTTACCATTATATGATTTATGGAACTAGCCAAATTAAACACATCACACTTTGAGGGAGCACATTTAGCAAAGAAAAAGAATGCAAACCTGTAGACTGGAAATAAGTTAAGCCAGACCAAATAAATTTAACTATGAATTAATAAAATATGGGTCAGAGCCCAGCAAAGGATTTTTCTAAGGGCAGTTCCACTGGTGGCATGTCTGGATCACAAATTCCGAGATCTGGAGGGGATGTCAGAAAGGTCGAGCACGCAGAATTAAGCATGGTGCAGCATAAGCCACTCTGGACTCGCAGCAGCAGCGTTAGATGCCTTCAGGTCACTGCTCTTCACCATCATCAAGATGTGCAATTACAGATTGACCTGAGTTGGAGTGACATGGTCCACAGCCCTCCATAAATTGCAGGAAAAAAAATCCTTTATAATCCATAGTAATTCATGGGCAATTATGCTTCTGGTCAGAGCGCTCACACCTGAGTGTCAATTTGACACTTCCTTTATCATTAAGCTTCGATGATGTTAACACATATGTCCTTCATGGCGGGAACATTTATTGATCTACCTATCATCATGATAACATGGTAGATGTTAGGTAAAAGAAAGCTGACAGAGTGGTACCATTTTTTACTTAGGAGTTACCAGACTCCATCCATGAAAAGGAGAATGCTCTGGACCAAGATATCTGAGGTCCTGGGACCTCTGAGTGTAAGAAATCGATCTGTTCTATGATCTTTGCTGGGAAGAACCAGCCCCTCTCCTAGCCCTTCTGTCTTGGTGCATTAAATGAATAGTAACCTTTTAAGGGCTGTAAAAAGAGCATTCTCCTACCTCTCCTTAGACCCTCCTCCCTCCGACTGGTGAGATCCTGAGAGTGCGACATCATTGCTTCATTTGTGGCACTGTGGTGCAGGGTTACGGTCCATATTTGGCTGCCTCATCTTCTCTCCCTAGGCTGTCAAGGCCTCTTTCCCAGACAGCGAGCCTTCCACCTCCAGCATAGCTCACGTTGCCGCAGGTTTCTAAGCCTGGAAAAATCGGCCAAATCCAAGGGAGCAGTGAATTAGGAATCCCGATTTTGTTATTAGGTCTAAGCTGCATTCTCCAATTCCACTTTACCTGAAATAAAACTGGTCACTGAATTTGAATCTGCTGATATTTTCATTCCTGTCTTATTCTTATTCAGAACCCATAGAGGGAAGGGTAATTAATTGACCCTCTTAAAGTCAAAAGTGACTACTTTTAAGGGTAGAGAAATCTAATGGTCATTGCAAAAGAAAAAGTGCAAGGCTGAATGTTTCTTGAGTCTATCTGCAAATCCATTCTAAACCATTTTCCAGTTATATCAACTAAAGCATATCTACCTACTGCTCTTTTAAGGAACTCAGCAGTTGTCCCCAATGATATAAGTGCCTTTTTGCTTTAGTTATGAAATATTTTACAATTAACATAAACCTTTAACTTTAAGGAAATAAAATATTTATGCAATAATCAAAAATGTGCTTACAGCTAGACACTAGGAATGCAAAAAGAATAAAATTTGTAAATTTAAATTTGGTAAAAATAACAAAATTTGTAAAATCAAGAAAGTGACAATCAAGTAATTTAGTCAAATATAAAACCAAATAATTGCAGCACAGTGTGATAAACGGCACAATATCAATATGCACACGGTAGAGTACTAGAAAGGAGGTTGTGCTCAACACTTTTGGCAATGAGGTCAGGGACAACATGAGAGGAGTAGAAACTTGAATTAGGTCTTGAAACAGAGGATGTTCACTGTGCAAAAGATAGACGTTCCAGGTAGAGCAAAGAATACAAACAGAGCATGGAGACACGCAAACCCATGACTACTCAAGAATCTGTGAGTCAATCAGTGTGGCTGGTATGTGGGATGCATGTGGGTGAGCAAGGGAGAGAATGCTGCGGAGGAAGTAAGGTGCAAATCATGATAATCCAGATAGCTGGCAGGGGACTTTCAATTGAGGGCAAAAGAGTGCAGTCAGAGGAGCGATGTTGTCAGATTTGCCATTCAAAAATATCACAAAGACAAAACACCCACGTGGGGGAAAGATTGGAGTAAGAGAAATTGAAAGCAGAGATATTAACAAGATATTAACAAGAAGGTAATGGTTGAATTAGTCCCAAGCAAGAATCATTTGAGCCCAGACTTTGGTATAAGCAATGGGAAAAGGGAGGAAAGTAAAGGTATTAAAGAGGCAGAATTACCTGCTTCTTAAGTGATGGAGAGAGAAGAATGCAAATGACTCCTGTGTTTCTGGAATGGGTGAGCAAGCAGATAAGAAGGCTGTTATCTAAAATCAGAGAGGAGGACTGGGAGATTTCAGGATATGATAATGAGAGGAGATCATGAGACTGTGTGAGTTTGTTGGACTACTCCAAACAAGTCATTTAACCATTTTGAGTCTTTTACCTCATTCATAAAATGGAAATATCATTATTTAAGAAGACTGTAGACAGGTGGTTGGAAACTGTCAGTGCTCAGCAAGTAAATCCCCCCTCCTCCCCTGGTCCCTGCTCATCCATGCCCTCCCCTTCCCTCACATCCCACCTTTCTTTTGTGATACACAGTGGTCTGAGTGAATGATCTCTCGTATAGCTCGAACTAAATGACATATTTCAACCAATTCAGCCTGTTTTATGAGAAAGAAAAATAAGCAAGGGAGGGGAAGAAAAGAAAAATTAAAAATTTGAACATCCTCCTCGACATAAGGATTTGCGGTAACTTGCAATAAAACCACAATTTAAAATCGGTGGGGGAGGAGGGTTATGGTATAATCCCAAGGAAAATATAGTATCTTAAATTTTTCTTTTAATGTAATTACATTTTTTTCTCACAGTAAAATGTAAAATGAACACTTCAAGTTAAGTGGGTATTTTTTTTCAATTCAGAAAAATAATCAGAACACACCCAGATGAAGGAAGGAACTAAGTCTACTAGAAACATGGTGTAAAAATAGTTGCTATACTTTACATTACATCTAAATCTGGGCTTTCTGGAAGCCTGTGTAAATAAGGAAGCAAAATGAGATATATTGCTCTCCTTTTTTGTTTTTTTAAGTTTTATTCCCTCATAAGAAAACATCCTTTCCCAGGCACCAACTTTTGGAGAAGATGTGCTATTAAAAGCATTTATCTACTTTAATAGACACCTCTTAGCAAGTGCTGTTTGTCTGTCATTCTGTTTTGCAGAATGAAGGGTGTTTGGCCCTGCAGCTCCTTGAGGGATGAAAGCGAACAGGCACCAGAGAAGGGGCCATTTGAGTGCCAGAATGAGTTTAGGGATAAAGTGATAGAAGAATCAGAAGAGGAGTCTGGGAGTAGATCAACCAAGGAAGGCTTGGCCAGAGAAAGAGGTTCAGGAATGCACGAAGTGTGTCCAGGGCTAAAAGAGGTGCTGGGCAGGAGAAGAGCAGGGTCCAGGAGCCAAACTCAGCGGAACTTGCATTGGGCATTCACTATGCACCATGCACAGTGCACAGGGATATAAAAATAAGTAAGAAGTGGACTCTGCCTTCGAGAGACTCATAGTCTAGAAGAGGAGACAGAGACAGATAACTGCAATCCGTGGCTAAAAGGACACTAATGTACAAAATCTTGAGCTAGCACCCAAAGCAGAAGGTGACTGCCTCTGCCTGCAGGAAGTGAGGCTTGAGAGAGAGCGAGAAGGATGAGCAGGAAGCCACCAAGTGTCAAGGGGAAGCAGGCCAAGCTCACACCCTACTCATCCTTTGGGTCTCAGTTTGGGCATCACTTCCTTTGGAAAGCATTCCGACTTCAAAGTCAAGGCTAGGGACTCCTCCTCTGTGCTCCCACAGCCACCTCTACTTACCCTGCAGTAATTGTCCAGCATTTCACTGTCTTCCTCACTAGCCATCAGCTCCATGAGAGGAGGAAGCAGGCCAATTGTTCTTACCACTCACGCCCTGCCTTTAGCCCAGTGACAGGTAGTTAACTGAATTCCATCAATACTTTCTAAGTGAATTGATAAGGGGCATTTCTGGAAGAAGTAACAGCATGAAGCATTAGAAAGAGGAAACGTGTTATGGCTGGAACAGAGATGAGTATGTGAGAGAGAAAAGTATGAGATACACTTGGAAAGAGGGAGAAGAACCTGGAATGGCATGCCAAGAAGGTGGAAGTGTATTCATGGTGTGACCAGGGGCCACTGACATAGTATATATTTGGGTAAATGGCATGACTAGATTTTCATTTTAAGATCACCACTTTCATACTGGCAGCAGCACAGAAGACAAGCTGAGGAAAAGTGGGTCTGGAGGCAGGGAGACCAGGCCAAACCTATGTCAAAGTTGCTTCACTTTTAAGAAGGCTGAACATGTCAATCAATCAATCAAATTGCTAGGATCAAATTGAGTTCAACGGGGATTATATACGGGGTGCTGTAAAAGAAGTGAAACTTGATCATCATCACAAAAGGCTAGAAAAATAAAAGGCAAAAGGAGATATTTTCAAAGTCTAATGTATGAATATAAAAACAGAAATAAGAACAAATCTTTCTCAGGCTGCCTGAAAATGCAAAATCTGGACAAATGCTGCTGACAAGATGTCTGCCTAAAATAAAACAAAAATACAGAGATGGGCAAGATACACCAGCAAATGCACAGTCACCATGGTGCACATGGGGAGAAGAGATGGCAAAGAAGGAGCAAGTCAGTCTCAGGCAAGTAAAATTGAAGATAAAAAGCTATCAAAAAGAAAGTCATTTTGTAATACTCTTTCACATTGGTACCATTTATCAGGCTGATACAACTGACAAGAATATCTAATGCCAAATAAAATAGTCCTGAAATACATAAACCAAACCTTTATATATACAAAAGAATTGATAAACACCATACCTTAGGTAGAGAGTTTAACTAATAGTATTAGGCTTTAACTAATATAATTAACTGGATTCAATGCATATTTCAATATATGTAATCTACAACAAATATACATTCTTTAAATAACTTTGGAATATGTTCAAAATTAATTGTATAGTTATCTACAAAAAAAAATCGTTGCACCATAAGATATAAAGTAGGTATAAAGGATTTGTGGTTCCATGACAATACCCAAAACATCTTCTCCCCCAAATTATTTTAAATGCAACAAAATTTTTAAATACAATGAAAATGATTTTAAATGATTTTACTTGAGCTTGTATTAAAGAGAGTGAAATCCACAGGTGCTGGCAGTGAAGAGGGAGCTGAAATTGGAAGCACAAAGCTTCTGGCTGAGGCTGTGCCTCCCCAGGTGTTAGTGGTCTTGATAGGGGTGTGGAATCTAATGTCCAGGTGGGGATGGAGACCAGGCCTCATGTTCATGCTAGATGAGGAGTGGAATTGAGGTCTTCCCATAAAAGCTTAGATGCTGGGAGGATGCACTTGCAGGTTAGATAGGGGAAAAACATCTATCCATTGGTACAGGATGATAACATGAAATCTTATCTGTCTGGCTGGGCTCTGGGTGGACAAAGACTCATCTATAAATTTGAAACCTTAGGCCTGTGATTCATGTGGTTTTAGGGTTCAAATTTACTCTGCTCTCATAAGTCCTAGAATGCCCACTTGAGAGACTAACATAATACATGGTCCTGGGCTGAACAGAGCTGGACTCCTGGCAAAAGTAAATCAAAAACTATCCTGGATGTGACCCCCTACAAGCCAAGCTACAAAGGATTTCCACAGAAAAAGCAAATGCCATTAAAAAGTTGTGCTTACAATCAAAAGTAACACAACACATGGAACCAATCTATAGTGAGTAAGAGAAAGATTAGACACCCCAAAACTTGACATAAATAAAATAAAAATAAGAATGTAACATGAAGTAATACATTTTAAAAGGAATTAAAACCCCAAGAACAAGAAAAAGATATCAAAAGCCATAAAATGTGAAGAATATAGTTGTCGGAAATAAGAACTCAGCAACAGCTTAAACACAGGGTAGATACAACTGAAGAGAGGATTCATGAGCTAAAGATAGATTAGAGAAAATTACACAGAGAAATTAGAGATTTAAAAAGTCTATAGGTTAAGAAGTATGAAGGCAAGAACTCTGATAGAGTTTCAGAAGAAGAGAATAGTAAATTATGAAAATGTAGTATTTTAAGGAATACTGGCTGAGG